GTTTTTAAATAACCTAATTTTGAAAGGACTTGATTAAACTGCTTACTAGCTTGAGGAAATGTTTTAAAAGATATTCATTCTTCCCTCAAGAAAAATTTTAAGGTAAACATCTTAAAACACCATGGTGATCCAGGAGGAAATTTATATTCTTTATAAAGGGGTCAGTGCTGAAAGAAAATCAAGTAGTATACCCTACCACACAATGGTTCTGCATGTACAGAAACAATGGAGACCATATTAACATAATAATGCTGGAGAAAAGAAAAATCCACACTTAGAGATCAAGTTTCTTTTAAAAATCCATGTTGCATATAGTAATGATTATCTCTTTTGGACCTAATACTCTCATTAAATGGTTCAAACTCACAAATCATTGCTACAAAATACAGTGTTTTCTATCATTTTTAGTTATAGTGTACACTATGTACAGAAAGACAAAAGTTACCTATCTTCAACTAAATACAAATGAACAAATAGCTGTTAAAAACCAGAATCAGGACTTATAAATAGTGCAGAAAATGCAAACGCCAAAAAAACGATGCCTCCTATGATTGTCACTGGAAGAGAAGAGAAAAAAGTTAAATAAGGCAAAGTTCCTATGATACTGCACAAACATCAGGGAGCCATGATGCTGCCCGTCGGTCTTGGAATCAACCACTTGAACCCTGTTTACATAGCAGAGAACACTTCACATGCCTGGTGCTGTACAATAAGAATTTGTTTCTTCTCCAGCACTATTTGCGACAGAATAACAGTAAACTGAAAGTGCTCACAAGCAATGACAGAACTATAACTCATTTTAAAACCCATTTCTAAAAGGGAATGTTAGACAATTCCTGACTAGCAAAGACACTACTCCATCTTTAGGAGCTAACAGTTACTTACAGCTGTAAGAAATTTTCAGCAGAATCAGTAAATATGGTCTCCACTATGATTTCCCAATCTTTTAGGACACACTGTTAAGGCCCAAAATTTCTCACTTCCACACAATGACTGCTTTATTTTTAATATCCCTTGACTGAGAAAATATGTTGACAAAAACCTACTATGAATTCAGTCATGCTATTGAATGAATTTGTATTTTACTAACATCTACACGAGATAAATAGTTCATACTTGTAAGACTAGTGGCAATACTTAAGACCTCAGGACCTCTAACAGATTCTAATTACAAAGACTGGGTATACTTTAGAAGTAGAAACGTAAATCATTAAAGCTAATTCCCTTTTTCTAATCTCTCAGTGATTGTAAATTTAAAGTGTATGCTTTATAATAAAAATTAAAATTAAAAAAAAAGACTTACCAGTTCTGACAGAGATTTTTTGTGCTATCATTCTTCCTCCAATGACTGCCAGCCCAGTGCATAAGCAGTGCCCCACTGTTCCACCCACTGCTACACCGCAGGGATCCTGGAAACAGGCACAGCTAGTATTAATTTAAAACCAAGGTGGAAACTGCTATTTGAGAAAAATAACTATAAAGCAGAATGGAAGTCAACAACAACAAAAAAGCAAAGAACAGTTCTAAAAATTCAGGTGTATAAAATTTGTGAAAAGTCATTATACTTAAAATCTTTTTTTATTAAGCTGCTTAAGATAGTATGTACCAACTATACATATTACAATTAGGGACTAAATCTAAAAAGAGAAAAAAATTAATTTGTGAAGTCAAAATAATCCTAATGAAATAAAGCTATTCAACCTTTCAGCAGTTATTAAAGTTCATACACAGCCAATATTTAGTACTTATGTGACAAGTGCTTGGAGATTGTTATGCTAGACATCTCTTCCCTCAGGTAATGTTTGATACTGTAAGAAAACTAAGTGAGCCTTTACGATACAGTGTGACAACCTCCCTGCAAGCAGAAACCCAGTCTCCCTACTCTCCATGTGTCCTCAGTGCCAGGGAAATAGTATTCTTTCAGTAAACACTCGCTACCAGAGCACACTGGAGGCACTCAGATTTCGGGGATCAGTCAGGGTTTTCTGGAAAAGATCCCTGAAGAATGAACAGGAGTTGGCGAGAGGATGTGATTTTGTTTTGTAGGGGAGGGAACATTCTAAGCAGAAGGCAACAGGCCAGCAGTAAGGCACCTGCAAAGCAGTATTTCTAGAGAGAATCAAAATGTCACAATCGAAGAGCCCAGCAAGATAGCTGGGGGCTGGGTCATGAAGGCTCCTATAAGCTTAGTAGACCTGACCCTGAGACACTGATTAGTTTTTAGCTGGGGAATGACAACAGGTATATGCTTGAAAAGTCTAGTGTACAGAACAAACTGGAGGGGAACAAGCCTGAAGGCAGGGTGATCGACTGGGAGGCTATTGCAATAGCCTTGAAAACAAATGACAGCGGCCTGGACTGAGGTGGGAGAATATAGGCAGAGAAAAGCAGATGGATTTGAAAAACACTAAGGAGGCATATAATGAAAGTGTACAAAATGAAGAAGACAGAAAAAGAATTGATGCATTTGAACTGTGTTGGCGAAGAATACTGAATATACTATAGACGGCCAAAAGAACAAACAAATCAGTCTTAAACAAGAATGCTTCTTAGAAGCAAGGTGGCGAAACTTCGTCTTGCTTACTTTTGACAAACATCATCAGGAAAGATCATTCGCTAGAAAAGGACATCATTTTTACCACAAGTGGGTGGCTTTATCCAACAGAAATTTATTTTCTCACAGTTTAGGACGCCAGAAGTTGAATTCAGTGCGCTGGCTCTCGGGGAAGGCTTTCTCTCTCTCTGGGCTCTGGGGGAAAGTCCTTGTCTCTCTTCAGCTTCTATTCCTTGGCGATCATGGTGAACTTCATGCGGCATGGCATCTATCTTCCCCTAACTGCCTGTTTAATCTGCTGTTTTATATCTGGAAGATTGACTCAAGACACACCTTACACTAATCCTGCCTCATTAACATAACAAAGCAACGCATTCCCAAACAGGATTGTAACCACAGGTATAGGGGTTAGGGCTTACAACACATATTTTGGGGGGCACGATTCAATACATAACAAATGGGCTCAAACATATCAAAGATCATGAAGAAGGTGCAGAACTGGGCAATGTTTTGTTGTGTTATATATAAAGTCAGCATGAGTCAGAACTGACTCAATGGCAACTAACAGTAGTGACATAGTGACCCTATAGAACAGAGTAAAACTGACCATAAGGTTTCCAAAGCTGTGATCTTTATGGAAGCAGGCTGCCACATCTCTCTCCCACAGAGCTCAAACTACCAACCTCCCAGTTAGCAACTGAGTGCTTAACCACTGTGCCACCAGGGCTCCTTAAGTAAACAATAACCAAAAATCAAACCCATTGCCGTGGAGTCAACTCTGACCCATAGCGACCCTATAGGACAGAGGAGAACCGCCCCATAGGGTTTCCAAGGCTGTAATCTTTGCAGAGTGTAAAGAATCTTGACACTTCCATAGAGTGGCTGGCTGGTGGGTTTGAACCGCCAACCTTTTGATTAGCGGCCGAGCACTTAACCATTGTGCCACCAGGGCTCCTCAAGTAAATGATAGGGGTTATAAAATGGGAAAAATCAATGATGTGACACCAAGTTTCTCCAGCTTGAATGAATTCTGGTAATACCAATGTGATAAAAAAAAAAAAATGGGGGAGGAGCAGTGGCAAGTGGAGTTAAGATTGAAGTTCAGGAGTTAGATGGTGAATAACCTATGGGATTGAATATAATAGTGTTGGGGAAAAACGCAGAAGGAGAAATACGCTGACAACACAATCCTAAGGAAAGCTCTGTTCAAGAGATGACGAAGAGGAGCCCAAGGGAGACTGAAAAAGTGACCAGGCAATTAGCATCCCAAGAGGACTCACAGTGGTTACGGTTATTGTCAATGGTGCCGCAAACTTGAAGCACCAGATCACTTACTCCTGGTAGGGTCAGGAACTAGATTCCAGTGGGTTTAGGCAAGAAAGTAGAGCCAACTCTTGTTCCGATCACAGCCAAGAACTTTGAGACCGAAGGGAGGGGAGGAGAGTGGTATTTGGAAGCGAAGTAGAATTGAGGAAGGAGGCTCTTTTTTTTTTTTTTAAGATGAGGGAAAACTTGTGAATGCTAAAATGCTCACAAAATGGGGCTCAGAAGGCAAAGATTTAAGCTATTAAAGGGGGTAAGGGGGTGGGGAGCTGGGATCCAGAATACAGCAGAAGGGAAAGGACTTCCACTGTGATGGGTGAAGTAGGTAAGGTTGTTGTGGAGTAGGCAGTGTATGGGTAATGACTTAGGAAAATGGAGACAATTTGAAACATTACTATGAAAAACCAGAGTGGGACTATTTCTCTCAAATTCTGTTGGTGTTTTATGGCTTCTAAATCTGGTATCCCAGAAGATGGTTTCATCCTATTTATAAGCGCTACTTGAAAAATCACTGGATTAAATAAAATTTAAAAGTTCTTTACTTCAAGATTTTTTTAGTCTTTATTTGTTAATTTGCATACTGAATCAAGAAAAGCGATACATTATTTACCAAGTTTACTTGACCCTGGAACCTCCTTTCCTCCCCTCCCTCCAATACCCGTTAACATCTCCATGGACTCTAGGATCCTAGGAAATCCAATCTGAGAAATACTGAATTATGCTGGAAAACGAGCTGAAGTTGCAGGCTAAAATGGACTGAACTAGACAACTGCGTGGTTCACACAAAAAAATCAGGAAGGTGAAGCAAACAAAAACACAATCATTATTTCTGCACTGAAAGAGCCCATTAAGACCACTGCAGTGCTGGTAGTGTGGAAGGGTGGACAACACAGAGTGCTTACGATCTTGGGGACTCTGCTAAATGCCCTGCAGTATCTTACTTCATCCACAGAACAACCCAAGAAGTATGTGATCCCCATTTTCAGATGAGGAAGCACAGGGAGGTGAAGTAATGTGGTCACACAGCAAGAAACTAAAGCCCAGGCAGCCATGTGTCATGCTGCTAGAACCAACAGACCAGGGTACATCATACAGAGAGGGCCAGTCTTGAGCCTTTCATGAGTCACTGCGCGCCATCCAGGAGACAGTACAAAGGAAATGCAATGATTCTGCCATCATGATAGCTCACCATAGCAGAACCACCACCACCACAGCAAAACAGTCACTTTCAAGTCCCAGTTCTGGCAGTAAAAAAGGCTAGAACTCAAGAAAAATATAGGGCACAGCCACTAAAGTGACATTTTAAAGAAAGCTTGCTTTAGTATACAGGAACCAAATGAAAAATCAGGTTCCCTTTCTTTTTCTTTCAAAATACAGCACTTTCAAGGCTTCTCTAACAAAATTGCCCTGGTCTCAACTATTTTAGTCCTGGCGCTCAACACTTTGCTTTATATTTTAAATTGCAGCCTATATTAAGGTACTTGTTCTTTCATAGTAGACATTTCCTACGAGTTGGAGACAAATCCAAATCAAGCTTTTCATCTGAATCCTACCATCTGATAAAAACAATGTCATTTAATAGCTATTAAAGTAGGTAAGAAGATGGTTACGATAAAGAAGAGCCTGAAGAGTAGCTGCAGCATTCCATTCTGAGTAAATCTTAAATCTGTGAACAATAACAGACACCTCATATAAAACTTCTACTATTTCTCTCAAAAGGAATAAAGATTTAAAAATTTTAAAACAACAGGTATTTTTAAAATAAGTAGTATTTAACAATTATGAACATAATATAGTAGAAAAAGCTGGAAGGCAGACAAGACAGTCTCAGCTCTAGTCCTTGCCCCTGTGACCAACTAGCTTATGTCGTTGGACAAGTCACCCAATATCTCTGGGCCTCAGGTTCTTAATCTGTACAGCAAATGCAAGAATGAGGTGATCTGAGGTCTCGTTCTAGCGTACCGTTCTAGGATTTATCATTCTAGAGCTAAGACTTAACAAAAATTTTCTAAACAGAAACAAACCACCCATAGTAGCTGTACCCAAAGACAAGCACTGTAAACATTTTTATTTCCTTAAATCTTTTGTTCTTTGTATATCTTTTAAAAAACAAACCTGCTTTTAAAATATCTCATTTTTTCTTATCATTAAAATAACGCTGAAGAGTGAATATTCAAAGAGATTCACAGACACTTGTAAATAACGGAACCAGTACTCCACTCCACTCCTAAATGTGCCAGACATTTAGGCTGTTCCTAATTTTCCACTAACAAAGCTGCAATAAAGACAGGCAATCCCTGGGTTACAAACATCTGTACGTGCCCTTTAATGTTATGTAAATTTGCCCTCACTTTGAAACGAGGGAACAAATTCTTTATCACAATCACCTTCACTTGCTGCACCTGCAGCTTTTAAATCATTGAAAAGCCTTCGAGCCTTTTCTTCCACTACAAGTAAGGCTAAATGAGAACTGTGTGCACCTGTTTTGACTTACCTACAAATTCAACTTAACAACTTAAAGACACAGGAACCGATCTCACTCGTAACCCGGGGACTGTTTGTACAAGTAACCTTTGCACAAGCACTCAATTATTCCTCAGTATAAGAAACTGAAGAACAAAAAGATACACTTGTAAGGCTTCAGATCTATACTGCCAAACTGACCTTCAAAAATAATATACCAGTTTACTTTCTGAACAAGTATGCAAAGGAGAGTTTTGAGAAAAGAAAGAAAACCAAGCTGAGAAGACAATGCCATGACATCATTTTAGCAAAACTGAGAGGAGTCAGCAAGATGACTGTAAGTACTGGTAGAAGGTTAATTTTGGAGTTGCAGGACTATCAGATCTAAAACCAAAGTGGAAATAATCCCTTGGCCCACGCTGACCCTGTCCAGTGTTCTCTGTAGCAACGTAACTTTCATTGCAATTAAATTTAGTCTTGGTAGCAAAAGCTGTCTTCCTTCAAATATCACTCACCTCTCTAGCTGCCAATACGATTGTAGTTAGTTGAGAGCGATCACCCCATTCTGCTAAGAATGTTAATGTAAGAGCCTGAACAAAGATAGGTGAAATAAAATGCAACCACTTTTTCTGAGGTATCGTTGTGCTTGTACCCGTTTCAACATCTCCTGGTCCATTTAAGAGTTTAGTTCGTTGAAGCTAAATTTAAAAAAAACAAAACAAAAAACTGACATTAATCCCAAAATAGCACAAAATCATTTAATCTTTTTGAAGTGTTTACATTCTGTGGAATATGCGCCAAAGGAACTAAAGTGTAAATCCAAACTTCCCCTTTGAACCATTAGTTTTACACAGCAACAACACTATATCCTTCATTCTTCCATTCCTCCCCAACAAAATAAACCAAACAATATTTACTAATCACTTACTATCCTAAGTGCTGTGAAATAAACATGTAAAATGATAAAATATAGTTTTTGCTTTTCAGGAGCTTATAACTAATCTAATTAAGGAACCTGATTACTCACATTCAGTATTCACCTCTCAGCGTCCTTCCTCTACCACAGTCACACTCACTACCGTGGCAGAATCGTATTACAGACAGCTATGAGGATGGAAACCAGGTAAACTAAGCTACTGTTGTATAGCCCACACATATCACAGAGACAGGACCACTGAAAAACCTCTGTATGGTGCCTTTTTGGTCCAGATATTTATTTAGCAATGCTATGACTTACTTCTTCATCTTTCTTCTTTATTTCTGCTTGAACTTCTTCTAGTTCCTCTTGACCCTCATCTGGACTCATCTTTAAGCCTTCTCGAAGCATTCGAATGCCAAAAATGGCAAACAATGCAGTTGAAACATAGTACGTATACACCCTGGGGATGACTGTGGTGGCATAGCCAAATAACACTGGAAGAAAACGCAACAGTACACCTGGTTAACTATCAGGCATCGTAACTGGTCAAAGGAATAATTAACTTCAGAAATCATAATTTACCACTCTTTTAAAGGAAAAATGTTTCACATTAGAAGCTAATCTAACATATAATAGCCCTAAATCATTCCACTTATTTTTATATATAATCTTTGTACAAGAACTTAACTTCCTCAGTATAAGGAATAAGAGAACCAAAAGATAAACACTTTTAAGGCTTTAGATATATCTATACTATTACATCAATTTATATTCTCAACAAGTATGAAAAGGAAAGTTCTGAGAAAAGAAAGAAACCAAGCTGAGAAGACAACTGCCACATCATTCTGACAAAACTGTAGGAAAGAGGAGTCAGTAAGACGAATGAAAATATAGTACAATATTGAATATTCCACCAATGTCGAACTCTTAGGAATAGCCAATGACCTAATACAGCTTATCAAGAAATTAATGGCCCAGTGGAATATGGCACATATTCCACTGGTACTTCTCATAATATGATACTGAACTCCCCTTCAGTCATGTTCAGCCAGGGGCTAGATTGCCACTTCTGGCATAGTACTTTAGGTAGAAGGTTAGCCTTGATGACCTGTAAGGATCTCAAGATTTTATAACCTGGGAACTAGACCATTGCATACATAGATGATTATTTCTTCATCACACATCTTTAAATTAAAAAATTCTATAGTGAAGAATCATGACAAGATTCTCATATGGCATGAATCAAATTCTGCTCCTTTGTAACTATTTTAAAATAAGTATATCTTATGAAAGAAAGGAGTCCCTAGGTGGTGCAAATGGTTAAGCACTCAGCTACTGACTAAAAGGTTGACAGGTCAAACCTACACCGGGGTGCCTGAGAAGAAAGGCCTGGCGATCTACTTCCACCACAGCCATCGAAAATCCTATGGAGCACAGAGCGCAGTTCTACTCTGAAACACATACGGTCAACCGTGAGTCAGAATCCACTCTATGGCAACTGGCTATGGTTTTTTGGCTATGAGAGAAAACTAATAATTCCTTATAAATACATTAAAATGTTTACAACAGACTCAATCTTATTCAGTACCATTCTTTCCTATTGATAAGGAAAAATAACAATTGTTTATAAAGTTATACAAAAAACTATACTTGGAACTACATCAAGAATCCAAATCCTAACTGTGAAATACATTTACATCAGTAAAATCAGCTCAGTAATTAAAACCTATTGAAGGGCTAAAGGATACCACCCCCAACCCCCCCCCACACACACTAAATGCAATTATTCCTTACTTCACCAGTTTTGTTTTTTCTATTGTACTTTAGATGAAGGTTTACAGAACTAGCTTCTCATTAAACAATCAGTACACATACTGTTTTGTGACATTGGTTACCAACCCCAAAATATGTCAACACTCTCCCTTCTCGACCTTGGTTTCCCTATTACCAACTTTCCTGTCCCCTCCTGCCTTCTAGTCCTTGCCCCTGGGCTGGTGTGCCCCTTTAGACTCGTTTTGTTTTATGGGCCTGTCTAATCTTTGGCTAAAGGATGAACCTCGGGAGTGACTTCATTACTGAGCTAAAAGGGTGTCTGGGGGGCCATACTCTCAGGGTTCACCAGCTCTTTTTATAAAATGAGTACAACACTTATAATCTGCCTGAACATGAAATGTACAACACATATACAAACTATTTTCCCTACTTCATTATATTATAAAATTGAAAAGAAGCAGGGACTCAGATACACGTTCACCAATGTTCACTGTGGCACCATTCACAATAGCCAAAAGGTGGAAAAACCCAAGCGTCCATCAACAGATGAATGGATAAACAAAATGTAGTACAGAGTATACACACAATGGAATATTAATCAGCCATAAAGAGAAACGAAATTCTGATACATGCTGTGACAAGGACAAACCTTAAAAACATACTGAGTGAAATGAATCAGACACAAAAGAGCAAATATTATATGATCCCACTTACATGAAATATCTAGAATAGGCAAATGCATAGAGACAAAAGTTTATTAGTGGTTACCAGGGGCTGGGGGAAGGAGGGAATGGGAGTTCTTGCTGAAGGGGTACTGAGTGTCTGTTTGGGGTGACGTAAAATTCTGAAAATGGATAATTGCTGAAGGTAGCATAACATGGTATATATAACTAATGTCACTGAATTGTACACTTAAAAATGGTTAAAATGGCCATTTTTAAGTGTACACAGCAAACTATGTTAAATATATTTTACAATAAAAATTTTTTTAAAAAATCGGACTTTAAATAAAATTGTTTAGAAATGTAGCAACCTATACTTCTGTGCCCATCTGTATTTGTATTATGTATATGTACACCTTATATATACGTGTGTGTATATATACACATGCACGTATATATATCAATTTGATATACAGGAGTCCCAGTTAAACGCTCAACTACTAGCCACAAAGCAAAAGGTTGGCAGTTGGAACTCACCCAGAGGCGGCTTGGAAGACAGGCCTGGCTATCTGCTTCTGAAAGGTCACATCCCCAAAAACCCTATGAAGAAGTTCTACTCTGCACACATGGGGTCATCATGAGTCAGAATCAACTCCATGGCAACAATACATGATAAAGATATATAAAATAAATTATATATGTACATATTATATATCTATATATGTGTGCACAGATATACATTATTTATAGATAGATGAGAAAGAACACTAACACAAATGTTAAAGCAAATGGAGTAATATGTTTAACAATAGATAAGCCTGGGTAAAAAGTATATAGATATTCTTTGTACTATTTTTGCAACTTTGTAAATTTAAAATTTTTTCCCTAAAAAGGTTGCTAAAAAGTTAAAAATGAAATGTAGCAAAACTTTTTAATCTCCTAAACTCAGGTTTCCCTTTATTTTCTGATAATCTTAAAAAAAAAAACAAGGAAAGGTCATGGAAGCTCCATAGACACATCAAAACTCCCTGAGGGACTGAATTGCTGGGTGGAGGGCTGTTGGGACCATGGTCTTGGGGAACATCCAGCTCAATTGGCATAACACAGTTTATAAAGACAACATTCTACATTCTACCTTGGTGAGTAGTGTTTGGGGTCTTCAAAGCCTGTGAGCAGCCATCTAAGACACTCCACTGGTCTCATCCCTTCGGGAGCAAGGGAGAATGAAGAGAACAGGATACAAGGAAAAGATTAGTCCGAAGGACTAAAGGACCGCAGCTACCAAGGTCTCCACCGGACTAAGTCCAGTACAGCTAGACGGTGCCCGGCTACCACCACTGACTGCTCTGACCAGGATCACAACAGAGGGTTCTGGACAGAGCTGGAGAAGGATATAGAACATAATTCTAACTCAAAAAAAAGGCCAAATTTACTGGCCTAAAGGAGACTGGAGAAACCCCGAGTATGGCCCCCAGACACCCTTTTAGCTCAGTGGTGAAGTTACCTCTGAGGTTCACCGTTCAGCCTGGGAGTGGACAGCCCCGTAAAACCAAATGAGACTAACGAGGTACAGGAGTCCAGTGACAAGGGCCAGAAGGCAGAAGGGGACGAGGAAGCTGGTGATAGGGAACCCAAGGTTGAGTAAGGATATTGTTGATGTGTTGTGAGATTGTTAACCATTGTCATAGGGCAACATTTGTAGTAACTGTTAAATGAGAAACTATTTTGTTCTGTAAGACTTCATCTTAGGTGAGAATAACAGCACAACTGGAAGAGCGCAGTCAATGTCACTGAACTGTGCATGGAGAAATTTTTGAAATGGTGTATCTCTGGCTATGTGTATTTTCCCCCCAAAAAAAGGTTGAGAAGTTAGAGGGTTAACATGTTGTGGGGTTGTTAACCAATGTCATAAAACAATATGTGTACTACTGTTTCATGAGAAACTATTTGTTCTGTAAGCCTTCACCTGAAGTACAATAAAATAAATAGAGAATAGCAGCACAATTGGAAGAGCATAGTCGATGTCACTGAACTGTACATGTAGAAATTTTTGAAATGGTGTATCTTTGGCTATGTATATTTTCACCAAAAAATAAAACGTCGAGAAGGGAGAGGGTTGACATGTTGTGGGGTTGTTAACCAATGTCATAAAACAATGTGTACTACTGTTTCATGAGAAACTATTTGTTCTGTAAGCCTTCACCTGAATAACAAAAAAAAAAAGCTAAAAAAAAAGTGTTATTTACTGACACAATCCCAGCTTTCCTTCTGCCTTTTACATCTCTATAGACAGCAAAAAACTATTTGTCGCTGTAATTTTTTATTCCCCTAGTTACTGTTCCTCTGTTTACTCTCTGGAAGCCTTTCCTCTGGGGAACTTTTGCACTGGGAATGAGACAGGTTATTTCTCTTTAAGCAAGTGCTTTGTATCACGTCAACACGGAGCTACTAATGTATTGAGACTTCTACATCTTGACAACTGCGAAGCTCCAAGAAAAATACCTGGGGTGAAGACAGAGATTTGAGAATTACTGCTTTTACTGGAGCCCTGGTGGTGCAGTGGTTAAGAGCTCGGCTGCTAACCAAAAGGTTGGCAATTCAAATCCACCAGCTGCTCCTTGGAAACCATAGGGAGCAGTTCTACTCTGTCCTACAGGGTCACTATGGAGTCAGAATTGACTCGATGGCAATGGATTTTTACTTTATTATTATTAAACTCAGAACACTCAGCAAGGACATTAGTATGAGGGGAGAAAAAGGGCTAAAAATAAAGCCATAGGGAGTTTACAGTACAAAGAAAAATTTTCAAAGACATAGGAATATAACTAGAAACACATGGTGTCACAGAAGCCAAGAGAGTATAAAAAATGGGAATTGCCATTAATGTGTTCTGAGGGGTTCAGTAAGATGAAAACAACTCTGTATGAAGGAAGGCTGATTATCGGAGCCTTTACAACAGTGTGAGAGGCTGAAATGGGACTACAAGTGGATAAGGAGTGAAAGGGAAGGAAGGTCATGAAAAGTAGTAGGAACAGTAATAATATAACTATGCGGTAATAACTATTATCATCCCTGTCTCATGGCACAGAGCTAAGTGAGGAACAGAGCCTGGGTATGAACCCCGGCAGTCTGGCTAGCACCTGCACGCTTAGCCTATGCTGAAGTAGAGACAATAGATGCAGATGAGCAATCCACAAACTAGGATTAACACGCCCCTAAGGGTACACAAAAACTTTACAAGGATACATGGGATGAATAGTTTTTTGGTTTTTTTTTTAAAGAATTTCCAGATGTTCAACTCTCATATGTATTTGTCATGGATTGAATTATGTCCCCCCAAAAACGTGTGTATCAATTTGGCTGGGCCTTGATTCCCGGTATTGTGTGATTTTCGGTATTGTGTGATTTTCGTATATGTTGTAAATCCTGCCTCTATAATGTTTATGAGGGAGGATGAGCGGCAGTTGTGTTAGAAGGGCAGGACTCAATCTACAAGACTGGATTGTGTCCTGAGGCAATCTCTTGAGATATAAAAGAGAGAAGTGAGCAGAGAGACAGGGGGACCTCATACCACCAAGAAAGCAGTGACGGGAGCAGAGCGTGTCCTCTGGACCTGGGGTCCCTGCACAAAGAAGGTCCTAGTCTGGGGGAACATTGATGAGAAGGCGAACAGAGACACAAAGCCTTCCCCTGGAGCTGAAGCCCTGAATTTGGACTTTCAGCCTACTTTACTGTGAAGAAATAAATTTCTCTTTGTTAAAGCCATCCACTTGTGGTATATCTGTTAGAGCAGCACTAGATGACTAAGACAGAGTTCTTTCCTAAAACTCATCTGCCTGAAAATGCTTGTGGTTCAAGAGTCATGCAGGGTCTCCTTTCTCACATCCCTTCTTCACAGTTGCCCTTTGCCCAATTTACAAAGTTTCCTTCTATTCAGCTTCCTATGGTGCATATGTCCCCAGTGTGAATAAATATGTATATCCTAGGACACCAGAGAGTATGTTTGAAATACTGGTGTCAGATTAAGCCTCCTCATCATAAACCACAAGTAGGCCTTTGAGTCTTCTTGTCTTATACAAGTTTCCAATAAGGTCAAAGCATTAAAAATGGGGTATTTTGGCCTTGGTTAGGATGGTAGGAATGATAACAATTTTCATATAGAAATTGTGCCTCTTCCATCCCCCAATCTTACCCATCACAGTCGCCATGAAGTCAGAATCTGTTTTTTTTTTTTTTTTTTAAATATAATAGTAAATCAAATGGTAACACAAACAGGAAATCTGACTAAAAAGAACATTTCATTCCTTTACCATAATGGGTAAGAATAGCTTAATGGAACACAATGAGCTGAAAGTGACTCCTCAGTTATTAATTACCTCCTAAATGTCCTTCAACAGAAAAATATGCAATTCTCTGTCATTGCTTGAGTCCTATTTCTGAGATACCAGATATAAATAAGCTCATCTAGATTGAAAAGAAACAAAGCAAAAGGATAAAAAACTGATAAAAGAGGAATGTTTATCTTGGCTGTAAAGAGCTGATAACTCATTGTGAAAGTACAATACAGTTTTTAAGAACGTATGTACTAAAACCATCTTCTGTTTATTAAATTCTGGAACTTAAACCAAATGCAAAGTACCATTTGTTGTTGTTAGGTGCCCTCAAGTCGTTTTCAACTCCTAGTGACCCTGCATACAACAGAACGAAACGCTGTCCAGTCCTGTGCCATCCTTGCGATCGTTGTTCTATTTGAGCCCACTGTTGCAGCCACTGTGTCAATCCATCTCGTTGAGGGTCTTCCTCTATTTTTCTGATCCTCTACCTTACCAAGCATGATGTTCTTCTCCAGGGACTGGTCCCTCCTGCCAAGTACCATGCTTTCCCCTTAATTCAGTAAACACACTAGGGGGAAGACAGCACACTCACCTGATAAGCATGTCATTAGGCCTAAGGCGAGCATAGCACCAGCCAACACTGTCAGACGGTTATAGCGCATTGCCATAATGGCGGCTATAAAGAATGTCTTGTCCCCCAGTTCAGATACAATGATAACTGATATAGCAGCAACAAATGCATGGATAAATCCCAGATTCCCTTGGGTGGCTGGATCTTCATTATTAGTATGAACCGGAGCTGCTGGTGTGACTCCTTTCTATAATAATAATAATAATAAAAAAATCAGTTACTTTTTAGAAAAACCATTATGTGAAATCTTTTATTTTGCATGTGAATAAAATCCAGTTTTTCTGTCACAGTCATTAGATTTATTTATTGTCTAATCACTTTGAAAACCATTACTAATGGCAGCAACCTCTGACTGATGGTTGCTACAATGCCAATCTACACACAATTCTACAATTAAAAAAAAAAAAAAAGGACAGTCCAGACCAGCTATTTCCATACATCAAAATTATCTTGTTTTCAACTGAATTGCTGGGCAGAGGGCTGTGGGGACCATGGTCTCAGGGAACATCTAGCTCAATTAGCATAACAGTTTAAAAGACAATGTTCTACATTCTACCTTGGTGAGTAGCGTCTGGGGTCTTACAAGCCTGTGAGCAGCCATCTAAGATACTCCACTGGTCTCACCCCTTCGGGAGCAAGAGAGAATGAAGAGAACAGGACACAAGGAAAAGATTAGTCCAAAGGACTAATGGACCACAGCTACCACCGAGGCCTCCACCAGACTGAGTCCAGTACAGCTAGATGGTGCCCAGCTACCACCACTGACTGCTCTGACCGGGATCACAACAGAGATTCTGGACAGAGCTGGAGAAGGATGTAGAACAAAATTCTAACACACAAAAAAAGATCGGATTTACTGGCCTGAAAGAAACTGGAGAAACCCCAAGGGTACGGCCCCCAGACACCCTTTCAGCTCAGTGAAGTCACTCCTGAGGATCACCATTCAGCCGGGGATTGGACAGCCCCATAAAACAAAACGGGACTAATGAGGCACAGCAGTCCAGGGACAAGACCTAGAAGGCAGAAGGAGGCAGGAAAGCTGGTGATAGGGAACCCAAGGTTGAGTAAGGATAGTGTTGACATGTAGTGGGGTTGCTGGCCATTGTCATAGGGCAATATGTGTACTAACTGTTTAATGAGAAACTATTTTGTTCTCTAAAGTGAGAATTCTCTAAAGTGAGAATAGCAGCACAACTGGAAGAATGTAATCCATGTCACTGAATTGTGCATATAGAAATTTTTGAAATGGTGTTATCTTTGGCTATGTATATTTTCACCAAAAAAAAAAAAAAGGTCCTCCAAAAATTACCTTGTTTTCTAAGTATTTGTGATTTGAGATTTAGTTCTTAGCTATGTCTGATTCAGATTTTTATGACCTAAGTATGTTTATCAAATATTCAAGAGACATGAAGCTGAGAGACATTTCAGGATCCAGGAAGCTCTCCACAGGCTAGAACAAGGATTGACTCTTGCTAAGATGAGGCTTAAGAGAACATATGGAGGACATATGGTCCTATGCTGAAGACTAAAAATATCCTAAGAGGTAATTTGGCCTAATAAAAAAGATAAACCACAGTCTTCGTTGGCAGTAAGGTCATTTTAAGTTGATGATGTGACAAAGCTTCCAAAAAGGCAATAAGCACTTCAGTTTAAGAAGTTACTGACAAGTCCAACATCATTCTGTGCTACTCAGCCATTACCCAAAGCTCTGTACATGGTTCTGAGACACACTTTGAGAGGACACTGCCCTGTGAAGATCAACCAACATAGAAAGGAGACTCTAACCTGGGGATCGGCAAACTACTGCTGGGGCCAAATCCAACTAAGAATGGTATCTATGTTTTAATGGTATGTATGTTTTAAAAGGGTTGTGGAAAAAAATAAAAGAGAGAGAGAAAAAGAAGATTATGTGACAGAGATTGACAGAGACCTTATGCAGCCCACAAATATGTGGGTCTACAAAGCCTAAAAACATTTACTATCTGGCCCTTTACAACAAAAGTTTATAGACTCAGGCTCTATCATCATCAGCTGAGGGACAAGGAAGGACAGGGTAACTATGTTCCAGTAACTGAAAGTCTGTGAGTATGCATCTATTCTATATGGTCCCAAGACTTAGCTAAAAAGTTACAGCTAATATGTTGTTGTTGTTAGGTGCCATCAAGTTGGTTCCGACTCATAGCAATCCTACGTACAAAAGAACAAAACACTGCCCGGTCCTGTGCCATCCCCACAATCATTGCTATGTTTGAGACCATTGTTGCAGTCACTATATCAATCCATCTTGTTAAGGATCTTCCTCTTCTTTGCTGACCCTCTACTCTACCAAGCATGATGTCCTTCTCCAGGGTCTGCTCCCTCCTGATAACATGTCCAAGTACGTGAAACAAAGTCTCACCCTCCTTGCTTCTAAGGAGAATTCTGGCTGTACTTTTCCCAAGACAGATTTGTTTGTTCTTCTGGCAGTCCAGAATATATTCAATGTTCTTTGTCACCACCATAATTCAAATCCATCAGTTCTTCTCTGGTCTTCCTCATTTATTGTACAACTTTCTCATGGCATGTTGTATGATTGAAAATACCATGACTTGGGTCAGGGACATGTCAACTTAATATAGAGAAAGGATTTCTACCCCAAGAGAGCTACCTGAAGCTGGAATGGACTACTACAGAAGATGGTAAATTCCCTTCTCAACATCAGAGTGCCAAAGAAGGCAACCACTACTTACAGGAAATAGGCTAGATCAGGGGTTTTCAACCAAGGGGAATTTTGTCTCCCAGGAGACATTTGGTAATGTCTCGACAGCACCCAGCAACAACAAAGACAATTTTGGTTGTTATAATTGGAGGGGAAACGCTGGCATCTAGTGGGTAGAGGCCAGAGATGCTGTTAAACATCCTACAATGCAAAAGACAGAACCCCACAACAAAGAATCATCTAATCCAAAATGTCAATAGTTCCAAGGTTGAGAAACCCTCAGATAAATAAAATCACCTCCAATCCTAAGAGCCTAACTATAATTAATTCTTAAAGCCTATGATCCAGAAACCTAAGAGATTACCAAAAAAAAAAAAAAAACCCCAAGGACATATATAATTTTTGACAGGGCAGAAGCAGTAGTACACTTATTACAAAGACCCCAGTCACATATGTCAGAGATAAAAATTTTAAATTCTTAGTGTGTATGTCATACCTTAATATATGGCAGAAATCTGACTCCCAAATTCCACATTTAAGATCAGAAAAATTTAAACACTACTCAGACTAGACCTCTGAGCTAAAAATTGGGGCAATTTAATGATACAGAAAATATTCATGTTAGGGCTAAATCAGAAAGGCAGGCTTGGCAGCAGCTTCTTGATTAAGCAAGTGTCATTTTAAGGGATTCTAGCTTTCTCTCCATTACCATTTTAGTTCTAACTATGTTGATGTTCTTTTTAAAATGAGCTTCCTTTCTCTTCCAATACCCTATAAGCACTATTGTTAGGTGCCGTCAAGTCGGTTCTGACTCATAACAACCCCACGTACAACAGAACGAAACACTGACCAGTCTTGCACCATCCTCACAATCATTATGTTTGAGCCCCTTGTTGCAGCCACTGTGTCAATCCATTTCCTTGAGAGTCTTCCTCTTTTTTGCTCTCTACCAAGCATGATGTCCTTCTCCAGGAACTGGTCCTTCCTGATAACATGTCCAAAGTATGTGAGACGAAGTCTCGCCAACCTCACTTCAAAGGAGCATTCCAGCTATACTTCTTCCAAGACAGATTTGTTCATTCTTCTGGCGGTCAAAGATATATTCAATATTCTTTGCCAACATCATCATTCAAGTGCATCAATTCTTCTTTGGTCTTCCTTATTCACTGTCCAACTTTTGCATACATATGAGGCAATAGAAAATACCACGGCTTGGGTCAGGTGCACCTTACTCCTCAATATGACATCTTTGCTTCTTTAAAGAGGTGTTTTGCGGCAGATCTGCCCAATGTAATACGTCATTTGATTGCCTGACTTCTGCCTTCATAGACATTGACTGTGGATCCAAATAAAATGAAATCCTTGACAACTTCATTATTTTCTCCATTTATCATGATGTTGCTTATTCATCCAGTTGTGAGAATTTTTGTTTTGTTTAGCTGAGCTATAACCCATACTGAAGGCTGTAGTTTCGATCTTCATCAGTAAGTGCTTCAAGTTCCTCTCTGTTTTCAGGAAGCAAGGTTGTGTCACCTGTATATCATAAGTTGTTAATGAGTCTTCCTCCAATCCTGATGCCATGTTCTTCTTCATATAGCCCAGCTTCTTGGGTTATCTGCTCAGCATACAGATTGAATAAGTATGGTGAAAGGATACAACCCTGACACACATCATTCCTGATTTTCAACCATGCAGTATGAGCATTAAGTATCCTAAAAAATAAAGATATTTCAAAGCAGCTCTTATTAAAGTAACATTTTCCTCTTGGAACCTCATGGTAAAATATTTAAGATCTGAAATCCAAGAAAAAAAATCAGGAATAAATCTGTACCATTTATGATCAATTAGCTCCAAGCGCAAACAGAAAACGTTCATGTTTTAAACCAAACCACAGTAACAATCAAAACTACTGTCATGGTTTGCATTATATCCCCCCAAAAATTTGTGTATCAATTTGGCTAGGCCATGATTCCTGTTACTGTGTGATTTTCCTGTATGTTGCAAACCTGCCTCTATGATGTTAATGAGGGAGGATGGGTGGCAGTTGTGTTAGTAAGGCAGGACCTGATCTACAAGACCGGACTGTGTCCTGAGGCAATCTCTTGAGATATAAATGACAGAGGGGAGCAGAGAGACAGGGGGACCTCATACCATCAAGAAAGCAGTGCCAGGAGCAGAGCTCGTCCTTTGGACTGGGGTCCCTGTGCCGAGAAGCTCCTAGTCCAGGGGAACACTGATGAGAAGGCCGAGAGAGAGAAAGCCTTCCCCTGGAGCTGACGCCCTGAATTTGGACTTTTAGCCTACTTTGACCGTGAGGAAATAAACTTCTCTTCGTTAAAACCATCCACTTGTGGTATTTCTGTTATGGCAGCACTAGATAACTAAGACAACTATCTATTCTCGTGGTTTTATAAATAAAAACTTGGACACATTACTTAGCCTCTTTTCCTATATGAAATGAAAAGGATAAAATAAAAGTTGCCTTAAGC